ATAAGAAAATTGAGCACAACAGCATTTGAATAAAAAAACAGACCAAAATCAAAATAAAAAAAAAACGTTTATTTTTTTTATCACAAATAACAATAATTTGAGGTAGCGTTTATGAATTTCCAAAAAAAAATTTTTTTTTGAACCACTCTAATGTATAATGTATATATCTGGGATGTGAACAGTCAAATAAGTTCGTAATAAATTTTTGTATGAAAATATTATTTTTAAATGCGAACATTTTTAATGATAATCAAATATACATAAAGTATTCATTTATACTATCCATTATTTCCCTCAGTGTACAGTGCACCAAAAAGAAGTGTTGTATATTGAAGGTACTCATCAGTGATCGGACTTAATAAAAATATTGTGTTGTAGATTCTAGAAAGAGACCTGGTAGATTTAGAAAAAATGTGGTAGATCTCAGGTTACGGATCAAACTTTTTAGAAAAATTAAAAAAATTGCAAGGTTTCACCTTAACTGAAAACTTTTTAATTCGAATCTCTAGAAACAACTTTTAGCTTGGGTTTTGCCAACTTTGACAATCCTCAAGTAAAACTAAACAACGCGTTGAAAACTTTAGATGCTAATACTTTCACCATAATCGCAGAGTTTTTACATTTTCTTTATTAGTTCTTTTTATAAATCATATATTTTGCAATTTAACACAATAAAATCACGTTTCCCGACGAAAAATTTTATGTTGAGAAATTGAGAAAATTCACTGTTTGACAGTTTCTTTTCTCCTCCCATTCGGCTTTGTTTACTTTTACTTGAGAAATCTCATCGCCGCCGGGATTGCGAAATCTTGTATACTATCATTCATATTATTAGGGACACGAATTTCGATACGATATGATACCATATCGATATTTTTGCTTTTCGATACCGATACTTTTACTCGAAAGTTTTCAAACGATATTTTTTGGAATCGAGTACTAGAACCCTTGTATCGTATCGAATCGTAAATGTACATTACAAAGTTAATGTGAATAATAATACACTTGTATGACAAAGTATTAGAAATAAAATAAAATTTAAAACTCTGGGAATTGGGCAAGTCTATTTGTATAAAACTTTTTGCTGTAATATTTGAAATATTTAAAGTTAATTTTCCAAATTCCAAAATTTAAAAATGTGTCCTTACTAAAATTTCTATTGAAAGTTTTGCTGTTAATATTGTTTTTAAACATTCCATTTCTTGCAAATCTATGTCGTACTATAACCTTACTTACTTTGGAATTTATATGTAAAGCAATATAGATATATTTTGCGCTTTAAAGTGCAGTAATGTGTACTATCTTAGGTTGGTATGCGGCGCGCCTTCTGTGATGTACTTATTAAAGTGCAAAGTGTTAATTCTTTAATACCCAATGACACCAATATTCAGATTTAATTTTTTGAATTTTGTATCGATATTTGGAATATCGAGTCTTTTTATTACGATATTAATGGGTACCCGATATTTTTAAAGCGATACTTTAAATGAGTACTATATCGATACTTTCGGTTCGATATCATGTCCGTATTTGTTACCACATTGGGTGTGGTCAGCGCACGGGGGAGGATGTGGAAGCAACTTTTCTACATTGTACACGAGGCTTTCCATTTCAATTAGCGACGAATGATTTTGATCATTACCCTTTACAAGGCCAAGATTTTGGTATATATATTTAACTAGCAGAGCTCCCGACGTCGTTCGGGGTAAACAAATCAAAATATAAAACAGTAATACAAATATTCAGTTCAGCATAATTTAAAGGAGACAAACTAATTTCTTTGTTTACATTAAGGCATCTTTATGAGCCGTACTTTTAGCCTTATCATGCTTTAACTAATATAGATTGATCGTCACTTGTACTACAAATCTCGTTCCATTATTACTATTAGGTGGATTAAGGTAACGATCAAATTTCTAAATTAAAATTAGTCTACTATGGTACATTCCGTTTAGCTGCCTATTCGCTTAGCTGTTTTGGTATGGCTGCATTTTTCTGGTAGAATGCTTAATTCGGAAGGAGTGTTATTCATTATGAATTAACCTTTTTCGTTTAACAGCATCGCGGGATTAGTCGATTTAAACGATTTAATCTTTCCATTTCAAAATAATCTAAAGACGGCAATGTTTAAAAACAAAAAAACACAGTTTTAAATATCCGAATTATCTAATAGATGAACACATATATGTATATCCCCCTTTTACAAACTCATTTATATATACTTTACTCTAAACATAGATACCTAAGTCTGAATACCAAATTTCAAGTTCATGTGACTTATGGTTCCCAATTTATGGATGATTAAAAATTCAACGCCTATGGGATGTGCCACGCCCCCTTTTACAAACTCATTTATATATACTTTACTCTAAACATAGATACCTAAGTCTGAATACCAAATTTCAAGTTCATGTGACTTATGGTTCCCAATTTATGGATGATTAAAAATTCAACGCCTATGGGATGTGCCACGCCCCCTTTTACAAACTCATTTATATATACTTTACTCTAAACATAGATACCTAAGTCTGAATACCAAATTTCAAGTTCATGTGACTTATGGTTCCCAATTTATGGATGATTAAAAATTCAACGCCTATGGGATGTGCCACGCCCCCTTTTACAAACTCATTTATATATACCCTCCTATACGCAGCTTCCATTGATATGTCTGCATATCAAATTACAAGTTCGTGTGACTTAAGGTTCCGAAGTTATAGCTGATAAAAAATTCCACGCCTATGGGATGTGCCACGCCCCCTTTTACAAACTCATTTATATATACCCTCCTATACGCAGCTTCCATTGATATGTCTGCATATCAAATTACAAGTTCGTGTGACTTAAGGTTCCGAAGTTATAGCTGATAAAAAATTCCACGCCTATGGGATGTGATACGCCCCCTTCTACAAACTCATTTATATGTCTGTATACCAAATTTCAAGGTCATGTGGCTTATGCTTCCGAAGTTATGGCGGATTAAAAGTTTCACGCCTTGTAGGATCCCAATTTGTTTCACCCTATTACAGGCCCAGGAGTCATGGCAATACTCTTTCAAAATTTTGTTTGATTCTGTCCGTCCGTTTAGGCTGCAACGTGGCACATACGTACATACATACATACATACTTCTACAAATATATAGTAGATTTGGCAGCTGAATCTGCTAGGTATGCTTTTAAAATTTTCCAGTAGTCCATTTAAGTCATGATGCTTTCAATGAAAATTAAATTTCCGATGCTGTTTGTGCCCATCGCTCCTCAAGCCATGACACTGGCACCGACATGTTTTACTTTTTTGTTAGCTACTGCGGATTCTGTTGGATATTCCTTCATTATCGACCAATCCTTCTCTCTGCCTGTGATGTATATATTTTCTTTAGTCTGCCACTTCCTTCTGTTCTTTCCAAATTTCCTTGCTTTTTATATTTTGTTACTTTGTACTGAACAGTAGTGGGCTAATGGTCTGATTATGACAACTTAACGTAACTTACGGCTCTCTCTTAAAAATTCTGTTAAATGGGTGTTGCCGAAACTTAACGTAACTTAAATCTTTTCATTTTGATTCTCTAAGTTCTGCGTTCCGTTAAGTTAAGTTAAGTTGCCATAATCAATCATCATTTACATGGAATCAAAATTACGCGAGCGTCAAATCAGGAGCAAGAGAGTCCTTAAACCTGTCATTTAGGATATATGGGAGAATATATCCCAAAATATTACTCAGAACTTAATTCGCTCTATGAATAGAAAGCTTAGAGCCATGCCAGATCCGAAGGTTGCTAAACAAAATACTAATTTGTATCAGAAAGTTAACTTTTTAACAAGTTAAAAATTTTGAACTTAGTGTAGAAATTTTTTTTTTATTTGCGATAAATCTTTATTGTATCTGTGTTTTATTCATTTGTAGTTTTTCCTTAATAGCCTAACTAACTTGTTTTTTTTTTAGTTCACTGTATATTTAAATGGACTGTTTTAGATACATACTATGTCGTTAAAACAAATGCAAGCACGTTAATTAAAAAGTGAAACTATTTAAATTCTTATGTTATGTGAGCCACCGAACGGACACTGCATCACCACGATGGGTTTTCCTTGAGACATCGAGCCAACAAATCGAAATTCGTGTAGATCGTCAGAAAAAATTGGATTATTTGTTTTACAAAATAATTTGTCAATCTACCCTTTTTGTCAAATTTCTCTTTTTAATTTTTTTTTTAATCAATGACGGTTTATATCAGTGCTGCCACATAGAAGTTAACCGAGTTGGAGTGTTCTTTTGAAGCTCGTTTAGAGAAGAACAGGCCACTATCTGGTGCGATCAAAATAAAACAACCGCCTAAATACAACACATTGTTTAGGTTTGTCTAGAGCTTTACATGCATTGTAGTTATCCTGGTATAAATTGTTTTGTCTTTCTTGAAATTATCAAAGGATAACGGTAGGTTCTCTTTCAGGTTTTCTCTTGCTGGCTTATATTGGAAACAGGTTCTTCAGATATTCGAATTTTTATGATCGATTTTTTCTTTAATCAAAAGTCGTTGTGTCGATATCTCGAAAATTACATAATAGAAAAAAATTATTAAGATTTTCGGGCTCAGCGACAGATTTTACACGGGAATGGGATGCTCTCGTTCTTGGGCTTTTTTTAGCTGTAATCAGGGATCACAAAAACCCCCGAGTTACAAATTTCGAGCGAATTCAGTATATTTTTAAAAACTTCTTCGCCACTTATCGTTTATAAGTTAACATTCGGCATTTTGATTTAAAAAATGCATTATCAAAATCGTAATCAACGATCTAATAACCGGCAATTAACAAATTTCTAGTGAATTCAATCATATCTTAAAAATTTTTCCGCCATACTGAGTTAAAAAAAACGCCACTGATCATTTAAAAGTAAACATTTATACCGATTTTTCTCCGCAACCATTTTCTCAATTCAGTTGACAAAGAATACCTCATACGAGTACATACTTATAAAATTTATTTAATTTTTTTTTCAGTTCGATCGACAATCTTCAATTCGTTTCAGCTCAAGGCGAGCACGTACTTTGGAATCACTTGCTTCTTTATATGAGGTAAAATATTAAATTGGTATTAAAATAACTAACTTAATATTACTAAAAATTACTTAAAAACGATAAAAAATGCAAAAAATATATTTAGAGTTAATATAAACTATTAGGTAGGTACAGTGATTGAGGCAAAAGCTTCCGACATCACATACTACACGGTGAGCTTAAACAAGTTATTATCAAAATTCAAAACAACCACGAAATTTTTTCAAGACTGTACTCTAGGAAAAAAAAGAAGATATTCCAAGCCCGAGTCAAAATCATATATGCAGACCTTTTTGAGAGATTCTGATCTTTCTTAAAAATTGCGTTAATTATCGATAGAACAGTTTTCACGCAACTAAGTACACTAGAATATACATACACATTAGCGTGGGCCTAAAATCCGTTTTTTAGAATTTTGATTGGTAATAGCAAAAATATAGTTCATTATGCTCTAAAACCAATCTGTGCGAGAGATGACAATTTTTGATCAATATCTTTGGCTCGCCCAAGTCCATTAAAGTTCAAGTGCTAAAAAATATTTTCTTAGCTTACTTCGATTCTCAAAAAAAAAGGTCCATATACTAAAAGGACTAATACTTTCAAAGATACTTACAATTTTAGTAAAAAAAAGTATCAACTAATGTATTTATTGGTTTTTATTTTTTGAGCACATTAAACCTTGATGGACTTGGGCGAGCCTAAGATATTATTTTTAGAACATAATGAACCATATTTTTCCTATTACCAATCAAAATTCTAAAAAAGCGGATTTTCGGCCCACGCTAATACACATATGTATCATATATGTCCCCTGCAGTAAAAAGCCAAACCCGTCTGAAGAACTTAAGCGTTCAGCGACATCTGCCTTTGAATTGCCAAAACCAAACATAAAACGCAATTAATTGCTTTTTTTTACAAATATCGGCGGTGACGTCGCGTGAAGACTACCGGTTCTGGTGCTGAGATCGCAGGTTCGAGTCCGCTTGGAGGTGGTTTGGATTTTTAAAATTAATGTAAGTCAAATGAATGTAAGTCATTATTTTTTTTCAATTTAAAAAAAAGATTGAAAATCTAATTAAATCGCAAAAAAAAACACGCATATCGGAAGAACTACTTGTGCCATAAAATAAAAAAAAATAGATAAATAAAAAAATTAATAAAAAAAATGTTCCCTGCGCCAGGGATTTAACCGTGGACCTCAGTACTACCACGACAGTGCTCTGCTCTGTCGTGCATTGCGACTGATGGAGCGCCGCGAGCAAAATGGAATACTTATGATTTTTATGGGTGATAACCTGGAACACCTTTCTGATCAACTGGTATGATGCTACTAGTATTTCCACTAGTAGATGCTGATGCATAGCCTGACAATTGATATCTCGTAGGACATCGCAATGTTAAAAATACCAGTCACTAACATTGAAAAAGGATGGAACGTGAACCAGTTGGGCTGAAAAGAAAACTGGTGGTATTTTAGTTCACAACTAGTAGCTTTCCCTGCAGGGTCGGTGCTATTTTAGATATACCAAGCAATGATGCATTGCTTGAGCAAAACAGTTATGGTACACTCTACTAAGTTTTTGGAAAATATTTATATACCTTAAATAATCGAACCCAGTAAGAAGCTTGAAATGCTGGCCGACAGGAAGAATGCCCGAAAATTTTACCAGAGGACTTAAGGAAGGTTTCAAGACCAGGGCGTACTCCTGTGAGAACAACTATAGCGACCTATTAACCGATGTTCAGAACGTACTTAAATTATGGAGGGAATACTTTTCCACCCCACTGAATGGTAGCAGCACGGAAAGTTGTGGAGAAGAAGAACCCGAGCCCGCAGTCGATGATGACGGAGTCGACGTTCCACCGCCTGACTATGAAGAGGTACGAATAGCAACAACGCGGCTGAAAAACAACAAAGAGCAGCTGAAGCTGACAGCCTGCCAGCTGAGCTATTCAAATACGGCGGCGAGGAGTTGATAAGGTGAATGCATCAACTCTTGTGCAGAATATAGTCAGGTGAACGCATGCCCGACGACTGGAATTTAAGTGTGCTCTCCCAAATCCACAAGAAAGGCGACCCCGCCATTCGCGCCAACTACCGCGGGATCAGCCTTCTAAGCATAGGTTACAAGGTCTTATCGAGCGTATTGTGTGAAAGACTGAAGCC